TTGCTGTACCATGGTTCAGAGGTTTCAATTTCTTCATAAATTTTCAATGCTTTCGTGTCCCTTTGTGTGTTGTGTTCCTCTTTCAACCTCTTTCACGGGTGTTTTTAATCCCTCGTGGATATTCCTTTTTGTGAGAGCATTCCCTTTCGTGTTGTTCAACTTCTTGCGTGATATTTTCTCTAATGATTTTGTTCGATTGGACAAAGTCTTTTAAGGAATTTTTAATTATGTTTTACGATAGTTTCACTCAACGGGCACATTTCCTATGCATAGTTAGTTACTAGGACTACCTCCACTTTACATCCCCAAAATTGTACCACTTTTTCATTTTGCATTATAAATTTTAATTTTAAACACTTTACACCCTAAAATCTCTAATGTATCCCATTTAAGCCTAATCAATGACAATATTAGCAAAAGTAACAGAATAAAGGATCTACAAATCAATGACAATATGTTGAAAGTGGTCAAAACGAGCCAAGAGATTTGCAAAACAAAATGATACATTGTCATTAATTTATATCATCCTTTATTTCATTAATTTGCTAACAATATTAGTGATTCAAATCGTATAAGTTAGTGAACATGTGCTAAAAACAGTCAAAATAAGTCAAGAAATCACGGTTAGAACAAAACGATACATTATCATTAATTTACATCATTTTTTATCTTTTCAATTTTACCAACATTGTTATTTATTAGACTTAAAATGGATAAACTTGAGATTTTAGAATGCAAAGTATTCAAAATTAAGAGTTTAGAGTGAAAAGTGTCCAAAATTAAAATTTAAGGTGCAAAATAAGGAAGTGGTACAGGTTTGGGACTGTAAAAAAGAGTTAGTTCTTTGTACCTATCAGACTAGTAAAAGAAATTCCAATATAATGATTTTCCATATCCGTGTGTACTAAATAAATTTTCTAAATCTGAAAGTCAAAAGTAAATCCAAAAGATTAGTTAAGAGCAGACCCTTAAGCAAGCTATATATATTTACTCTTCATACAAGGATCTTAGTCTTTTGTGAATTTACCCTTAATGTATAGTCTTTTGTATTACAAGGAAAATTTTAAATGGTTCCAATTTTTTGAATTCTTTCTTGTGACTGTTGATAATTTCCTTTTCCTCAAAAGAAGAATTGTCAATATACATTACTTCTAGAGTTCAATATCTTCTGGTCAAGTTCAATGCTTCAAAAGTACTCTGTTAAAGCATTCAAGGATCTTAGAAGTTGGAGTAGATAATGCTTAGTGTATATACCATGTTTAAGGTACAAGTTGAACATTTTCTATTTGATCAGATGGTGAAAGGTTTATACAATTCTGAATAAAAACTTATGATTAGGTTTCCATGCTTGACTACTTCTTACAAGATATAAAAGTACCAAGCTCAAGTTACTGTAGCAATTGTGGTCCGGTTATTGCGGTAATTTACGCCAATTTGAGGGGCCTTTGGTTAGGCTGTCTTGGTGGGTTGTGCTCTGAGGGCTCTTTGGTTACGGTTGGTAATTTACACCAATTTGAGGGGCCTTTGGTTAGGCTGTCTTGGTGGGTTGTGCTCTGAGGGCTCTTTGGTTACAGTCTTGCAGTAATTTACAGGAATTTTAGGGCCCTTTGCTACGGTGGGCCAGTGACTATTCTGCGGTCGGTGCGCTTAGTGCTGTTAGTGCATTGTGCTCTTAGTCTTCTTAGTGGGTCCTGCTATTGGTGCTTCCGTGGCGCTACATTGCATATGCTGCGTTCGGTCATTGTTGAGCTGGCTCGGCGTAGTGGATGTTGGCTTCCATCCATCTAAATGGACGTAGTGGACGTTGGCTTGTATATATCTATCTAAAATCTATCTAAAATTGCAGTCGTTTTTGTTGTTTCCTTTTGTTCTGCTTTGTTAGTGCTCTGTTTCCTTTCTGCTCAGAGTTGTTTTTATTCTTCCCTTTTGCTCTAGTTGGTCTCTGAGCTCTATCTAAAATTGCAGTCGCTTTTGTTATTTTGTTTTCTTCTTTCTTTTAAGTTCTCTTCTACTTCTGCATATTATTTTTGCATGCATGGGGATTATTTTTTGCTTTTTACCATATCAGCCAGTATCTTTTTTCGATAATGGACAGATTTTTGCAGACTTAGTATTGCGCGGCCTTTGATAAATCTTGATTTGTTGTAAACTTGCTATTGCATGAACCTTGATGCGCTTTCCTTTGTTTTCGATTTATTTGATATTGGTTTGTCTTATACACAACCTTTATATATTGCTGCATGTTAGTCTGCTATTTTTTCTTCTATATCTGTTACATGCATGGGGATAGGTTTTTTTTTTCATATTAGTGATTATGTTGTTTTTATCATTGAGAGAATCTTCCCAAATTCTTCCGTGCAATCGATTTTTTCTTTAATGGCTGTTGCATATGATTCTTTTCTGATATCTTTGTCCATGCAAATTGGCTAGCTAGGCGTCGTTCTAAAATTGAATTTTTTACTATTGTATAATTTCCTTTTAGTTTTTCCAAGCGTTGTTCTCTGTTTTCATTGCCGTTCTGTTGTCTATGTTGGTTTATAGCAATGCTTATTGTTGGTATTAATTTTGTATTAACTGCTTTTCATTTTCAGGAAGAAAAGCAGAAACAGCAACGTGCTATTAGGTTTACAGGTTGCTGCTTTAGGTCATGGATGCTATAAGGTGCGCATATAAATCTTTATAATTGATAATTATAAATAGAGTTAGGTATTAGCTAACTTTCATCAAATTTGAGTCTATTTGTTCTTCTTGCGATCTGTGTTATTGTTAGTTTCGTTGCTTTGATCTTATTGTCGTCCATTGAATGTTGCTCTGTTTGTCAATATAGTATTTTTTTTTGGTCCAATTTGTTGTCCTTTGCCATATTTCTATTATCTTCCTCAATAATGGGGTGAGCCAAAAAATATGGAACTCTTGAAGACCTATATATTGAGAAAAATAGAAGGCGTCGGCGACAGCGACGTGCTGCAACAGGCAAAAACAAAGATCAGCCTTGTAGTGGTGTATGTATGGTTGCAGTTACAGGGTTTAGTGTCGCTGAAAATATGATTCCACAAGAAATTGTTGGGTCTGCTGATGGTCGGCACAGACGGTGTGTTCTATCTGCTAATTCTTATTATGAACATTTTATTGGCTCTAATGATCGTGAAATTTCTAGCAATGTAATGAACCAGTCCATTGTAGCTGATCAAATCTCTGGAAATGATCAACGTAAATCCAATCAGCAAGTGGCTGAGATATCTTTAACAGACGAGATTTCTCAATCCATGCTCTTTGATGTACCAATTTCTGGTGAAAGATCTGATGATGAGTTACGATATACATTACATAATCTTGCTGTTACTGTTGATGGTGATTTAGCTGAAGTGACAACTTTACCCAACACAAGCAAAGAGCAAGGCCAATCATTATTAATGGTCGATGGTATGATCAACAAAGGTAAAAGACAGAAATCTACAGAGAAAGCATTTGACTCTCGAGGTAATCAAAAGAGGAATCGCCAAAAGAAAAAACAGAAGGATCCATTAGATGCTGTTGCAACTGAGCCTAGCTTATTACCAGCAATTGCTAACTGTCAGTATTGCAATGCAAAACGTTTTCATCTCGAACCTCCAGGATTTTGCTGTGCTTCTGGAGAGATTCAATTAGTGCCAACTGAGATGCCAAGAGAACTTATGCTGCTTTATCTTGATAATAGTGAAGATGCCATAGAGTTTCGTCGATGTGTTAGAAGCTATAATAACGTATTTGCCTTTACATCCATTGGAGTCCACACAGATCAATCTCTTGGCAAAGCATACAATGGAATTTATACTTTTCGAATCCAAGGACAAATGTATCACTATATAAATCAGCTCATTCCTACTGATGGTGAACAACCAAAAAATCTTCAGTTATATTTCTTTGACACTGATCATCAGACAAGCAATATACTTTCATTATCTAACAGGTTTGCTGAATCACTCATTAGTAAGCTCGAAAGTATCTTGAAAGTCAATCCTTATTCTGCCTTCTTTCGAGGACTTCAAACATTGCCCAATCTTGATGATTATAAAATTGTTCTAGAAGCAAATCCATCCGTTGATCAGCGAACTTTTAATAAACCAACAGTTTCACAGGTGGGAGGTGTTTGGTCTGAAACAAGTGATTCTGAGCAACTAATGTCAAAGCATATTGAAGTATATGGCAAAAATGGAAAAACACAAATCGTTAAGCATTACTATGGCTGTTATGATTCTCTACAATATCCCTTGATATTTGCAAATGGTGAACCAGGTTGGCATCCAGGAATTGAAAAAGTTGTACACAACGATGATCCATCCTGTCAACAAAGAACATGCCAGGGAGAGCAAGTGTTATTCTCTGGCTCAGCTTTAACAGCAGATGATGTTATCCATGCTGAAAATCAGGGTAATTATGTTACTTCCAAAAGTTTTTGTGTTATCTTTTTATACGGTGATCAAAAAACAAGATTATATGTCTTTACACTTCTTATTTCCCCATATGCAGCAATCAGAAAAATGAAACGAAAGAGAAAAACTGTTTCATGTCGAGAGTATTACTGCTACAAGCTGCAGATCAGAGAAAATGATCGATCAATGTTGCTTCACATAGATCGACTTCTACAACAGTACGTGGTTGATATGTATGTCAAAATTGAGTCCACAAGACTTGATTTTCATCGAAACACTGACAAACGAAACCAGATGCGCACAAAATTATACCAAGGCATAGTTGATAGTATCTCTCAAGGAGAGGCTTCATCTTCAAATATTGGGAAAAGAATTTTATTGCCGCAATCATTTATTGGAGGACCACGTGATATGAAACGTAGATATATGGATTCAATGGCTTTGGTGCAGCGATATGGCAAGCCAGATATATTTTTGACAATGACATGCAATCAAAATTGGCCAGAGATTAAGAATGAGTTACTACAAACTGATCAAGTTGAGAATCGTCCAGATCTGATCTCATGAGTCTTTAGAGCCAAACTAGAAATGTTGAAAAAGGAGCTATCGAAGAGGCATATTTTTGGAAAGGTTGCAGCATATACGTATATTATTGAATTCCAAAAACGAGGCCTTCCACACGCTCATTTTCTTATCATTCTTAAACAAGGAAGCAAGATGTACTCCCCTCAAGCATATGATCGAATTGTGTGTGCTGAACTTCCTAATTGTCATCATCAGCCATATTTACATAGTCTTGTCGTGAAGCATATGATGCATGGACCATGTGGAGTAATGAATCCAAAATGTCCATGTATGAGAAAAAATATAGGTTGCAAGGACAAGTATCCGAAAGAATTCAATGAATCCACACGTCACAGTAGCAACTCATATCCTATATACAAACGTTCCGACGACAAGAAAACAGTCAAAGTTCGTGGTCATCATCTAGATAACAGGTGGGTAGTCCCCTATAATCCTTATCTATTATCAAAGTTTAACTGTCATCTTAATGTAGAAGTTTGCTCAACTGTTCGAGCTGTAAAGTATATTTACAAATATATATATAAAGGTCATGACAAAATCTTGTATCAGCTCAATAAAACTCAGGTTGATCACTCATTTGATGAAATTAAAAGCTTTGTAGCTGCTAGATGGATATCTGCTCCTGAAGCTATGTGGCGCATATTTGCATTTGATCTGAATGAAATACATCCATCAGTGACTTTGCTTCAAGTACATCTTGAAAATAAACACCCTTTAGCATTTCCTGAAAATAGGCCACTTGAAAGTCTATTGCAAAATCCTACTTCTTCAACAACAATGTTAACCGAATTTTTTGCAATGAACAGGCAGGATGATCATGCAAAGTCTTTAAACTGTTTGTATGCAGAATTTCCAGAACATTTCGTTTGGAACAGGACAACGAAGCAATGGGATCATCGAAAAAACAAACAAGTTATTGGCAGGTTAGCTCCTACTCACCCATCTAAGGGAGAACGCTACTATTTACGCATGTTATTAATGCATATCCGGAAACCAACCTCTTTCCATGCATTGAAAACAATCGATGGGATTACATATGCTACATTTCAACAAGCAGCAGATAAACTTGGTTTGCTACAATCAGATGACGCTGCTGAATTGTGCCTTCAGGAAGCCACTCTATATCAAATGCCATCTTCCTTAAGACATCTATTTGCTGCCCTTTTAGCTTACTGCACACCTACAAATCCAGAAAAAATATGGCTCAAGTATCAAGATTCCTTGTCTGAGGATATTCATCAAGATAAATCTATTGACCAAGCTAATGTTGAAAAGATAGTCTTACAGATTATTCACAATTACTTACAATCTATGGGAAAATCCTTGAAAGATTACGGATTCAGCAGCTTTGTTCCGCAAAGAAATATCAAACAACTCATCGCGAAAGAGATAGAAAGTGAAAAGAGCATTCCTGTCTTAGATGTTGATCTTGCTGCATTGCATCAGCTAAACGGTGACCAGAGAATAGCCTACGACAGAATTATGAATGCAGTATTAAACAAAAAATCAGAAGCTTTTTTTGTTGATGGCCCTGGAGGTACCGGTAAGACTTTTCTATACAAGACTCTGCTTGCAACAATCAGATCAAAAGGTTGGATTGCCCTTGCTACTGCAACATCTGGTGTGGCAGCATCTATCTTACCTGGAGGTCGAACTGCCCACTCCAGATTTAAAATTCCTTTATACGATGATGATGCTGCAACTTGCAATGTTGGAAAACAAAGTGCCATTGCACATCTTATTCAGAATGCACGGTTGATCATTTGGGAAGAAGCTTCTATGGCAAAGCGAAAATCAATTGAAAAATTCAATGAGATGCTGCAGGATCTGATGCAAACAAATTTAGCATTTGGTGGAAAAATTATTGTCTTCGGTGGTGATTTCCGTCAGACTCTACCAGTGGTGTCAAAAGGCCACAAGCAAGATATCATCAATGCAAGTTTTGTTAACTCTCCTCTTTGGCGACAACTGACAAAATTAAGGCTTCAACAAAACATGAGAGCACGCAAAGATCCTGATTTTTGCACATTCCTTCTCAATATTGGCAATGGAACTCAACAAATCAACAGTTCTGGTGAGGTTGATATACCAGCATCAATGAACATACCATTCATTGATGATGATTCGTCGCTCGAAACACTTATAAATGTAGTTTTTCCTAGCATGGAAAGCTTCAGTATAAATCCAGCTGCAGTTGTTAATCGAGCAATCTTGATGACGCGTAATGATTTTGTTCATGAGATCAATGACAGATTGATTGAAAAATTTCCAGGGAAGAAAAAAACATATCTCAGTTTTGATCAACCTATTGATTCTCGAGACCAAAGAGATACTCAAGATTTTCTGAATTCATTAACACCAAAAGGGATGCCTCCGCACGAGCTCAAGCTGAAAAGGAATTGTCCTATAATGCTGATCAGAAACATAAATCCAACAGAAGGCTTATCGAATGGCACTTGATTAATATGCAAACAGTTCAACAACAATGTTATCCATGCTGAGATTGCATCTGGATCGTTCCAAGGAAAATCTGTCTTTATTCCACGGATTCCATTGGAGTGCTCAGATGATGAATTCACATCTGTCCCATTTAAAAGAACACAATTTCCTTTAAGGCTGTGTTTTGCAATGACGATCAACAAGGCTCAAGGACAAACACTTGACTTCGTAGGTGTTGAATTCAAAGCCAAGCCTCAATTGATGACTTTTTCAAGCCAAAATTGAGGACTTTGAATTCTTTGGCCTAAGTTTCTAAATCCCACATCGGTTAAGTTTAACATTTGAGAGGTTGTTTGAGAACTATAAATAGCTCTCAAACAAACCAATTCAAGTACACCAAGCAAGAGCCAATAACTTGCTTTCTTCTCTCTCTTTGTAATATTTCTTCTAGTGAAATATTAAATTGTCGGTAGTGTCCGAGGACGTAGGCAAATTAGCCGAACCTCGTTAAATTCTGGTGTTCTATTTTATTGTCTATTTAGTAGCTATATTTGTAGGTATATTTGTAGTGAGTTATTGTGCAATTAAGTGCATATATAGGTGATTCTGTCTAGGAAATTGGTACTTAAGCAGGCCAGTGTGCCTCACCAAATATTTCCTGGGAATTACCATTTTTGCAATTTTAGGTACAATAATTTACTCGTTATACCTTAACTTTGGTAGGGCTTCCGCAACAATTGGTATCAGAGCTCGAGGTTTCTTAGTATGCTCTGTGGTTGCAGCATGGTCTGATCTTCCACATCAGAAAAGATTTCTTGGGCTATTGTTACTCTACATTTAGGAGCTACTAAATATAATTTGTAGAGATGGCCGAAAGTAGATCTTCATCTACAATGCAAGCATCAACAAGCTCGTCATTATCTATTATGGCGAGAAATGTTATGACAAATACAAAATTAAATGTGGAGACATTTGATGGTACCGGTCATTTCGGCATGTGGCAAAGTGAGATTCTAGACGCGCTCTTTAATCAAGGTCTAGACATTGCCATCGAAAAAGAGAAATCAGAAGAGATTGAAGAGAAGGAATGGAGGACGCTAAATCGTTTAGCGTGTGGTACAATTCGATCGTGTCTTTCAAGGGAACAAAAATATGTGTTCTCAAAAGAAACCTCTGCAAATAAATTATGGACTGGATTGGAGGAGAAGTTCTTGAAGAAAAATTGTCAGAACAGGCTCAACATGAAGAAGCGTTTATTTCGCTTCACTTATGTTCCTGGCACAACTCTAAGTGATCACATCACTAATTTCAATCAGTTAATCACTGATCTGATGAATTTAGATGTGACATTTGAAGACGAAGATTTGGCTCTCATGTTGTTGGGATCTCTTCCTGAGGAGTTTGAGCATCTTGAAACAACTCTACTCCATGGGAAAGCTGAGGTGTCCCTCAGTGAAGTTAGCTCTGCCCTGTACAGCTATGAGCTCAGAAGAAAAGACAAGCAAAATAGCAGAGATGGAGCAGCAGAAGCTCTGGTAACTAGAGGACGCTCACAAAACCAGAGAAAGGGGACGAGAAGAAGATCCAAGTCAAGAGCCAGACTAAGTAAAGATGAGTGTGCCTTTTGCAGAGAGAAAGGGCACTGGAAGAAGGACTGCCCAAAACTGAAGGGTAGACCTGACAAAGAAAAAGCTGTTGCGGATTCAAATGTATCTGAGTGCATTGATCAAAACTCAGATTTTTCATTAGCTGTCATGCCTACTGGTCATTCTAGTACATGGCTATTGGACTCAGGTTGTAGCCATCATATGACGTCCAATAGAGAATGGTTCTTTGATTTCAAGGAAAAAGAAGGTGGAGTCGTCTACACGGCAGATGAGACCACATTAGCAACAAATGGGGTTGGTTCAATTCGGCTAAGGAATCAGGATGGATCAATTAAGATTCTAACTGATGTCCGATATGTGCCAGAATTGAAAAAGAACCTCATTTCTGTGGGAGTACTAGAATCAATGGGCTACAAGGTGTCGGCATATAATGGAGTGATGAAAATCATTTCAGGTGCATTGGTGCTGGTGAAAGGAATCCGAAAAAATAATAACTTGTATTACTATCAAGGTAATGCAGTTGTTGGAGTAGCGGCCGTGGCTTCCAGTGATGATCGAGAATTGAAAGTAACCAGATTATGGCATATGCGCTTAGGGCATGCCGGAGAAAAATCTTTGAATCTTCTGATGAATCAAGGACTATTAAAAGGAGCCAGTGTTTGCAAGTTAGATTTTTGCGAGCATTGTGTCAAAGGAAAGCAGACAAGGGTAAAATTTGGCACTGCAATTCACGATACCAAGGGTATTTTGGATTATGTGCACTCTGATGTGTGGGGACCTTCCAAAACAACTTCTTTGGGAGGCAAGAATTATTTTGTTACCTTTGTCGATGACTTCTCTCGAAGAGTATGGGTGTATACTATGAAGGCGAAAAGTGAAGTATTGGGAATTTTCATCAAGTGGAAAAAGATGGTGGAAACTCAAACAGAAAGAAAGATCAAACGCCTTCGAACAGACAACGGAGGTGAATACACTAGTGATCCGTTCATGGAGGTCTGTGAAAATGAAGGCATTGTTCGGCACTTCACAGTCAGAGATACACCACAGCAAAACGGGGTGGCAGAGCGTATGAACCGGACATTGGTGGAGAAAGTTCGGTGTATGTTGTCCAATGCTGAGTTGGGCAGACAATTTTGGGCTGAGGCTTTAGCATATGCAAATCACCTCGTTAATCGCTTACCATCAACTGCTATTGGCGGCAAAACGCCATTAGAGAAATGGTCGGGAAAACCTGCTACAGATTATGATTCCTTACATGTGTTTGGTTCTACTGCATATTATCATGTTAAAGAATCAAAGTTGGATCCAAGGGCGAAGAAGGCGCTCTTTATGGGGATCACAACAGGCATTAAAGGTTATCGCCTTTGGTGTCCCGAAACGAAAAAGATAGTTTTCAGTAGGGATGTCATCTTTGATGAATCTACCATGTTAACAAAGGTAGATGTACAGCAGAATGATAGTACTCCCCAACAGGTGGAGAGCACTCCTAAGCAGATGGAGTTTGAAAGAAGCATTATCAGACCAGCAGTGGATATCGGAGTAGATGAAAGGACTCCTATGGTAGAAGAAGAATCAACTGAAGAAAATGTTCCAGTTGAAGAACTTTCACAGCAACATGAATCAATTGCAACCAGTAGGCCAAAGAGGACAATCAGAAAACCTGCTCGTTTTGCTGATATAGTGGCCTATGCATCCCCAACCATAAATGTTGATATTCCTGCCACTTTCAATGAAGCAGCTCAAAGTTCGGATAAAGAAAAGTGGAGGATTGCAATGGATGAAGAAGTACATTCCCTTCATAAGAATCAAACATGGAGGCTAACCAGTCTTCCAAAGGGAAAGAAGGCAATCGGATGCAAGTGGGTATATGCAAAGAAGGAAGGATTTCCTGACAAGTCTGGTGTTCGCTACAAAGCAAGATTGGTGGCTAAAGGCTACGCTCAGAAGGAGGGAATTGATTACAACGAAGTGTTTTCTCCAGTCGTGAAACATTCCTCCATCAGAATTTTATTGGCTTTGGTAGCACAATTGGATCTGGAACTTGTCCAATTAGATGTAAAAACTGCGTTTTTACATGGTGACTTGGAAGAGGAAATCTACATGACTCAGCCAGAAGGATTCAAAGTTGCTGGTAAAGAAAAGATGGCATGCAAGCTTGACAAATCGTTGTATGGATTGAAGCAGTCTCCAAGACAGTGGTATAAGCGATTTGACAAGTTTATGATGGGGCAAAGGTACACAAGAAGCAAATATGATGATTGTGTATATTTGCGCAAGCTACGAGATGGATCCTACATATATCTTCTTCTTTATGTTGATGATATGTTGATAGCTTCCAAGGATCAAGGTGAGATTGAAAAATTGAAATCTCATTTGAGTCGGGAGTTTGAAATGAAGGATCTCGGCGAAGCCAAGAAAATTCTCGGCATGGAGATAAGTAGAGATAGAAGATTGGAGAGGCTTTATTTGACACAGAAAGAGTATCTTAGTAAAGTATTAAAGAGGTTTGGTATGAATGAAAAGACTAAACCTGTTAGTACTCCACTTGCTCCTCATTTCAAGTTTAGTGCATCGTTATCTCCAAAGAATGATGCAGAACGAGAATATATGGCAAAGGTACCGTATGCAAATGCGGTGGGTAGCTTGATGTATGCTATGGTGTGTACAAGGCCCGACATTTCACAAGCAGTTGGAGTTGTGAGCAGGTACATGCATGATCCTGGCAAGGAGCATTGGCAAGCTGTGAAATGGATTTTACGGTATATTTTGAACACCGTAGATGTTGGATTAGTATTTGAGCGGGATGAGAAGATTGGTCAAGGCGTAGTTGGATATTGTGATTCCGACTACGCAGGAGATCAAGATACACGTCGATCAACGACTGGGTATGTTTTTACACTTGCTAAGGCACCAGTCAGTTGGAGGTCTACCTTACAGTCAACAGTTGCTTTGTCTACTACAGAGGCGGAGTATATGGCAGTTACGGAAGCTGTTAAGGAAGCAATTTGGCTTCATGGATTGCTTGATGAATTGGGAATTGGACAGAAGTCTATCAAAGTTCATTGTGATAGTCAGAGTGCTATTCATTTAGCAAAGAACCAAGTTTATCATGCAAGGACGAAGCATATCGACGTACGGTATCATTTTGTGAGGAAGATTTTGGAAGATAGTACGATACTACTTCAAAAGATTCAGACCAAGGAGAATCCTGCTGATATGCTTACGAAGGTTGTGACAACTATCAAATTCCAACATTGTTTGAATTTGATAAATGTTGTGCACAACTTGAAGATTGGCGCGTGACAACGCATTTGAAGACACCACCGAATTTGAGGGAAAAAAATTTGTATTTTTAGTGGGATTAGAAATTATGCCAAGGTGGAGATTTGTTGAATTCAAAGCCAAGCCTCAATTGATGACTTTTTCAAGCCAAAATTGAGGACTTTGAATTCTTTGGCCTAAGTTTCTAAATCCCACATCGGTTAAGTTTAACATTTGAGAGGTTGTTTGAGAACTATAAATAGCTCTCAAACAAACCAATTCAAGTACACCAAGCAAGAGCCAATAACTTGCTTTCTTCTCTCTCTTTGTAATATTTCTTCTAGTGAAATATTAAATTGTCGGTAGTGTCCGAGGACGTAGGCAAATTAGCCGAACCTCGTTAAATTCTGGTGTTCTATTTTATTGTCTATTTAGTAGCTATATTTGTAGGTATATTTGTAGTGAGTTATTGTGCAATTAAGTGCATATATAGGTGATTCTGTCTAGGAAATTGGTACTTAAGCAGGCCAGTGTGCCTCACCAAATATTTCCTGGGAATTACCATTTTTGCAATTTTAGGTACAATAATTTACTCGTTATACCTTAACTTTGGTAGGGCTTCCGCAACAGTAGGATTGTATTTGAAAGAACCAATATTTTCCCATGGTCAGCTGTACGTGGCCCTATCACGAGCAACAAGAATGTCAAATACCAAAATCCTTATCAGGCCTCTCTCTCTATTCCAGCAAGCTACAAATTGCACGAAGAATATAGTATATAAAGAAATTTTTACTTTAGCTGAAAGCAGTTAGACCTATTCCTACCTCGAATTTTTTCTCCATCTTATATACCTGATGAATATATTTTTACTCATTCCATATCCTAAATCTTATCTTCTAACCTGCCTATCATTATTTTCTTCATGACTGCATATTTGATTCACCAGTGATATCGAGCAAAGATGTGTCCTGGTTCCTGAGCTCACTGATACTAATACTGATTGGTTTGCAAAATTGCTGATCATAGAGAAGACACCAACACGATTCAGCAAAAGTGGCGGATCTCCTTATATAAGATTGGTACTCGCAGATCAGAAGGTAATTCCTTTTGAACAACATCCACTGACTAATATGATCCAAATTTATGTTTTAACGTACCCTTCATTTAACAGATTCTGCTAAATTTTCTTTTTATTTCCTCAATTGCAGAGTAATACTATTCAAGCTACTATCTATGAAAGAGACATCCATGATGTCGATCCGCTACTCCAACTTCATTCTACTTATTATCTTGGCAATGCTTGGATCACGAAAATAACAATGCCATTCTACCTTGCATCATCCAACTACCAGCTCACAATTTCAAAAAGAACCTTCATAGAACCCGTCCCAAGCGAAAGAGCATTACCATACGATAACTGCTACAGATTCACTTCATTTCAAGACCTACATACTTTCATGAATGATGCAACCGCAAAAATTAGTGAGTATACTATTATTCTGCTTTATTTTGCCACTGTAACAAATCCTATCACCTGACCATTAGTTAACTTAACAAAATTTTTTCTCTTCTATATATCATAGATATCTTATGTACAGCAATACATACACTCCCATCTCGATCAGTTCCAAGAGGCCAAGGATACGCAACAATTCAAGAGTTTACTGTCGTCAATCATGAGTAAGCATAAAAAATTTTCTTCTGGTTCCATTTCCTAGCATGATTAATACTACAAACTAAAGCTATGACACCTTATGCAGAAAAAACCAATGATATTCACTATGTGGGATGAATTTCTGGCTGTTGAAGGTGCTATTCTAAGATCAATGATGTCACAGCAACCAATCATTATCATTGCGAGGCCTAGAATCAATTCTCACCACAGTAAGTAAAAAAAAATCCCTGATACTTTGACAATTACTAAAACAATAACTACATGTAAGATACTAATTTTCTGAGACTTATATGCACTTAGCTATATCAATTGGAACACAAGCAACAACCGTACTCCTGTACAACCCACAGATCACAGCAGCAACAACACTAAACAACTGGTAAAATACATTACTATCCTGTCCTATTTCCTGTATATTTCCAAGTCTAACACAGTTATATTATAAGCTGAAAGAAAATACAGCTTATACTCGAGCAGTTATTCAAGAAAAATTGTATGATAAAGCTCACCAAATTGTACATGCACCAACCACTACCCAACTGCATGACATTGCCACCATTACCTCTAGCACTTATCAGGTAAAAAAAATTTACATTTTTTTACTTCCCCATAATATTAGAACCATTACATTTCTGTCTAGCACGCTTTACTTCTACCAAAAAGCTAGCCATGACGGCCTATGCTTTAGAGATCTTTATAAAACATTACTTCTGTTCAAACTACTCCCATTAGATACAAACTCTCACAATGTAAAAATCTTGCCTCACTATTCCATTCTTTCATCTATGTAGAACAAATCTTTTTGGATACAAGCAGAAATTCGAGTTCCAACCACTGCACAACGCTTTTATTTTCTCAGTTGTCCTAATACTACATGCATGAGGCCTACTGGTGCAGCCATCAAAAGACATTTCACCTGTAATTTCTGCCATATTGCATACCCAGAACCACTACCAAGGTACAGCAGTAAATACTTCTTTTACTTACATGCTTATATATAACTATAACCAAATGAAAATATTATCATTTTATCAATCCATCTTTAAATATATACAACTTATAGCTATCTTGTTGATAACTCCAAATTGTACAGACTACGCTTTGAAACACAACTATTTGATGGAGCGTCAATCCTAACTGCAACAATTGAGGATGAATATGCCCAATCACTACTTGGAAGCTCTGCACAAGCTATAATTGACATGCAAAAAGAGGTACAATTCTTTCATAAACTATCCTCGCTTTAATTTCATAAGCATCAACTAACTTGTTCGATTCAAACCTAATATACTTCACAGCAACGATCTATTGATCTACATGCCATCAACAAAAGACTCCAAAACCAGAAATATTACATTCACGTTCGAAATATTGCTAGGCAATCAGACATTCCACAAGCACCACGATACATCATCCTTGCCTACCTGCCTATCCCAGCACAGAGAACAACAGATCCACATCTGCTGCTAGACTCTTCTATATCTACAACCTCATCATCACACAATCACCCTTCAACAGATGAATGCACATCATCCTCGGCCAAACCAGACGACATTATAAAGCATTTTGAATCGTCATTAGATGCAGAAGAAACTCACTTGCACCAGCTTGAAAAACGCCAGATAATGCAGCCTGCTGATACTACAGCCAAGCGACAAAAAAATAAGTAACATATCACCAATGCAGTAAACAAACACAAGGATAACCCAGGTTTTGCTCTAGAAACACTTATATAAACAAAATCTCTTTTGCATGCTACTTCGGCCAGTTATCTAAATATTACTTTTAAAGCCGATCAAATGCTATTAAGAAGCATAACTTCGTAACTTTATGTCCTTCCTCAATGACTCGTCTTCTACTTCCAACCATGAGTTTCTCTCACTGTTTTGTATCAGCTATTTTCATATCAAGAGACAACTACTATCATTAGTTTTATGAAACGTATGACAGATCTTTTATCTTTTGCTCCTCTTATATCGCATTTATTCATGCTTTCTTATATCCTTTCTAAGATTCACACTTTAGCAATCAAATATGCTTGCTAACTGACTTGCATCCTACTGCAAGCTATTAACACCCTTCGTGACTATACACATTATTGTTTAACACTCCTTTCATCGCCGTTAAATGCTCAATTAAAAAAATAAACTAATTTTAGATTATTCTATAATATATATACTAATATACCATTAATTTTTTAACCAAGAAATCATTTTACAAGACAAAACAAAATTGACCAAAAAACATACATCCCAACGAATTACACCATTAATACAAAACAAAATAGTACAACTCTTCTTCATCATCACACCTAAACTTTCTTCCCACCAAATACAAATCAATACATAACTAAAACCATAAACAAACAAAAACCACTTTATATACACTCTTCACCAACAACATTTTAACCTACAAAAAATAAACATAAACACTAGAATCATCACAATCCATCAATTTGGTCCATCCCCTGCGAGTCCCTCATACCAGCTTCTCAACTCATCAGCCTCACGAATGGCAACATCATACATAATAATAGTTCTCCTTTCTGTAGCCAAAGAAAGACCTAAAAAAAAAATTCTATCAAACACAAGATAAGAACAATAATTCTATTATTGAGCAAACAATTTGAAAAATCTATTACCATGAAAATGGCTAATTTTAGGCCTGCAAATCAGTACAATAGGATGCTCATGTGCGATCTGCGCAAGATGTGCTCCATCCGTATCAACAAATTCTTCCCAAATCGCAAATACCACTGGCATCATTCTATTAAAAAATATTATCAAAAACCAACACATAACATATTCAAATATTATTAAAAAAAAATTCATACTCTTCATTCATCAACAAAAACTCCTGAACTCGCATATATCTGCTTCCGAAAAGAAAAACATGCAATGGAAACACCTTGATCACGACACCAAGAATGGCTACAAAAAAACAATAACCTTTAATAAATAAATATAAATTTAGCTCGCAAATGATTACATATAAATCAACAAAAAGGAAAATTATAGATCATACTAATTATAGCATCACGAGAATGCCTCAGTGACTGCAGATGTCCGAACCGAGTAAAATTATAAAGATTATCAGTTGGCAATTGAACTAAACCATGAACCCGCTCGATTAAAGTATGTTGTGTCAGTGTTACTTCAAACGAAACGGAACCAAGCATTATTGAATCATCCATTAACCGACGAACAATCCCATTTCCAATATAATACGTTGAAAACAGTTGCAAAATCTCATCCAGGACATTCAGATCAGCAAAATATGCAATAGCTTGAACTCGATCACCCTACCAAAAAAATTAACTCATAAACAAAATTACAACACATGAAAAGAATAACAAAAAATAAAAAATTTAATCGTTACCAATTGATCAGCAAAAACATATCGTTGATAATGCCGACCCATATTAACACTACCACGAACAAAACTTTTCTCAATAAGAACAACCCGAACAACCCAGCTCTGAACGCCAACATTCAACTGACTAACAGAGATTATATTTTCCTCCATAACAATGAACCACAAAACAAAACCAAAAAAACCAAAACAAAAATTGACTTCAAAATCAAAAAGTACACCTCTACAAACAAACTACTTTCCCTTTACACTCCCAAAAGCTCCAAATCAAACGCACATACTTATAACACTCAAAATATTACTACAAAACACAAATGCTCACATGCTATCCCCATGCAAACATGCTACAACTGACACCTATAAACATACAAGTGTCGTAAACTAAAAACACTTGGCAACCATGCAAATATCACAGCCACCGTCAGTTGACACATCATACATTCCAAATCACTGGATATCTACAAAAATAGCTGGCATTTAATTCAATCTCCCCAATAAACGTTACAATAACTATTACTGAATAACATTTTTCCTATAACACCTAAGCCCCGCCATACCATTCCATCAATATCACCACATATTACTCTCCTTGTAAATAACACCAAAATCATACATACCAAACACAAGTCTGGGCAGTGCCACGCCATTGCGTGGCACACCAAAACTAGTCATATTTATACGCATGCAACGTCAACTTGAAATAACTTTAGGGTATGTTTGGTTCCCCATAGAATTGGGGTTTAGAATTGGAATTGGGGCTCCAATTCCAATTCTGTTGTTTGGATTCTGCTTCACTTGAAGAATTAGAATTCAATTTAAATTCTATGGGGGTCCAATTCCATGAATTGAATTCTTTACTGGACCAAAAGAATTCTAATTCCAATTCCACAACTAAACTCTAAGAAATGGATATACACGCGGATCTAACATGGGTAAAAAATTAAAAGTGGGTCAAATATACAAGCATCCCTCTCTCCTATTCTAATTCACCATTTTTTCTCACCCGCAAGTGCTCCTGCTCTCCACCATCGCTTCTACCTCCGCCCTAACATTTTGCCGCTTCCACCATCGTTTCCCCCATCGCTCTTCGTTTCTGCCATCCCTCTTCCCTTCGCCTCTCCTGCCACGCATCCACCCGTCACCTTGCCAATCACAAGACTAATCTGAGTGCTCTCTCCTTACCCCCACCTAATTTTCTCGAATTGGGTTCTTCAGTCTTGAAGGTAATATCTCCTAAGAATTTGCACTGAAATTTGACATTTTCTTACAAAACACTGCCTAACCCTTGAGTGCCAGATATTAATTCTAGTAATGGTTCTTCACTTTGGTTTTACAGCCCAGCAATGGCTCAGAACCTACAGTTGGAAAGACCCTTGTTAAGGACGGAGGTCTATTTTTTTTATAGAAACTTGGTACTGGATTGGTGTATGAGCAGCATGTTCAATCTTCTTTTTATTGAAATATTGACATTTTTAAAGCGTAAGCCCTACGTACAACCTTGTTATCATGCAATTTTTGTTCCTAATATACTATATAGTAAAGAAGTCCATGTCTTAATTTTGTGGTGTCAACTTAATGTCAGCTCTAGGAGATAATAAAGCTGTTATTCTTGAGGATGATGAGCAAAACAAGGATAGACGGCAAGTTGCATCACATCCTGGAGGTTTGTGGTCATTCAACTCCAGCTTTTTGCATATGCAACTCAAAGATAAATACTCTGTATCCCTTGATAAAATAAGTTCAGACTTTAGACAAGGTTTGAAACGTGATATATACATTTTCCCAAAATTCAATATAAAGTTTAGTACTCAATTAGCGCTTAAATTTAATGGATTCTAAAAGTACAAAAGGAGGAAGAAATAAAGAATCTAAAATGCACAAAAGGAGGGGGAAAATGGAGAAAGAAAGAATCTACCGACAGAAAGAAAATGGAGTAAAGAAAATTGAGGTTATTGACATTCAACAAGGGAACTTATTTCATCCTAAAGCTGCATTCCGGTGATTTAATTACTACTTCTGCTGAAGTCTTTAGTAGTGGATGCAATTTTAGTCAAGTTAATGAACTTGTATTTGTCACAGTTGATGGATTCAAATAAGCTGTGGTGTGATTGTTCTCAACAAGACCACAATTTCTTCTTTGCATACTCACCACATGCACATGATTACTTTTGGGCATAACTTTTAACAACAATCAACTAACATATAAAAGGGAATTAGTCAATTGATTATGGAATTAAGTTGATTGCTGACACATTTTCCTTTTCTATGATAAAGTTTAAAATCATTACTCTCTAACTTATGTTAACAATATGGTGGTTTAATATGATGGCCACAGTCAATTGCTTAAAAGTTTCAGATTTTTATTCTTGTTCACACATATCTAGTATGGCTAAATCTAAATCCTCATTTCTAAGTAATTTTATGTGGTAAACAGAAAGGTTTAACAATATAGATGGGCTAAAATATCTTTGACTCAAGTTGATCGTTGACTCAACTAAGCAAAGAATTAACTCTGTTCTATGTATCCTAGCTGTGAGATCTACAACTTCAGCAAATTGAATCTGGTCAACTTAAAGCACCTTAGCACTTTCTACCGTGATTGTAGGACTAACATGTTTTGTTTAAGAATAGCCTCCAAAAGCTTGGCCGTTAGTCGAACCAGTTTATCTGCTCTTAATGTAGTTTTTCAAGCAGGGATCAACAATTACATGCTTTAATTTTCTTTTAACAAAAAAGAAAGATTTTAATCTTTGAGCCATAAGTGATTTAATCACATGTTAGTGCATTACTAATTCAATTAGTGACCTCTGGTTTTAGTTTTTTGATGCCACAACATAGTTATTATATTAAGAAAAGAGCCCTTATGATAAATATCACCTAACACATATATTTTGACACAATATGTCTTAATTGTAGGTGCACCACTAACTTTATTAAGTACACTACAAGTGAGTAATATTATAAACTAGAAATTGATGATGATCAGTCAATAAGTCTATAACATGAATCTTATTGTTAGTCACTGTTTACTTACTATCTATGATAACTATCCTATTGTGTTTAAATTGATCTATAGCTAAAGCTAAGTTGTGCTGAAACTAGTTAGAATGATTATGGACCTCTAATATAATTTCAAGTGGACACAACAATAACCTGCTTATTTCTATACTATTAGTCTTTTCTTGTGTGGCTTGAAAATCATCTTATACATGTAATTATCACTAATTACTAGTTTATAAACTGATCAACTTGTCAACATAAACCCTGATCTTGTTAATACATCTATATTCCACCCAACCTACCATGTATATACACATACTAATAATTATTACTTTCTCTTACATTTATACATTTTTTCTAATTAATCTTATATTTCTAAAAATTTAACACTTGAAATACATCTTAGCGAGTAACCATAGAGCACCCATTAAACAGATTGAACTTTAATTAATTTGGCAGTGTAAAATTCCAGGAGTTACCACCTTTTTTTCAGTTAACAATTGAAGTTTCCATGTGTTGAGAATTTTTATCCAGTTTGAGAAGATTTCTTTAGAGAAGTATCTATTTACACATCCATTCACTATGCATTAGACACAATGAAAACTTGCCATATTTTCAGAGTTAATATTATGTGCCAGAGCAATTGTAAAGCTAAAGGCCAATCTTATCCATCTAGTCAAAGTCACTAAGTCAATTAAAAATATTCTTTTGGTGTGATTAGGTGTATAACTGGGTCGGGTCTTATCTAAATCCAATCCAAACCCAATATATTTGGATAGGGTGTGGATTTAATTTATCAAATCTAGACCCTACCCAGACCCAGACCTTAGAAAAAGTCGTGGGTATGGGTAGGGTCTGGTTTTTTAGAATTCAGATCTAAATCCAAACCCATATCAAAGCTTATCCAAACCCATATATAGGAGTGTGCAACGAATTTGAATTCGGTAATTCAGAAGTTTGAATTCCAAATTTTTGGAAATTTTGGAATAGGAATTATAGACCGATTTCGATTTCAATTCCAAATTCAGTTCGAAATTCGGTAAATTCCGAATTCATCGAATTCGGAAACCTTTTTTCCCTTTTTTTTTTGGTTAGATGTATTGTTATATAATATAAATTTTATATTACACATATTATAAAAAATGTTATTATATATATAAATATATATTATAAAATGAAATTAAAATAAAAAATATTATTATAATAATTATTATATATTTTTATAAAATGAAATTGAAATAAAAAATATTATTATATATAAATAAATGTATATTAATATATATATTATAAAACAAAATTGAAATTGAAAATTTTGATTTCGATTTCCGATTTCGAATTATGAATTCGAAATCAGAAATTCCGACATCAGTGCCAAATTCCAAATTACTGATTTCGAAAATTTTGAATTCGTCAATAAATCGAAATTTTTCGATTTTGCACACTCCTACCCATATATATTTAATTAAATAATATATATTAGAAAATTTATAAAATAATATAATATTTTATGGCTATTGGGTCGAATACAGTAAGATTTTATGGCATCAGAATCTGCATTAAGTATTGGTGGTTGGGTGATTGATAAGACACGTGCAAAATTGCTTTTAAATATGGTTGAAACATTAGTGACTACTGATGATTGGATTAAATCAAAGAAAAAATGAGTAAGTGTTTATAAATCTTCTTATTCTATTATTTATTTGTCATCGGTCCTTAATCAAATGATCTCATTCACTATTTTAGTACTGGATTGCGAGACATCTGTCAACATTGAGGTTTGAATAAGAAAAGGAGGTACAAATTTACATTTTTTTAATAAGACTAAATATTTATATATGTTATGGTTGATTTCTTTTTTAAAAACTAATCCTAGTTGTCATTGTAAGGAAAAAAAGGTAAAAGCAAACAAATGAAATATTGATGTGGATGCAGTTAAATCTTTAAAAATATATAGAAGTAGTCAATAATAATTCTTTCTTTAAATTCAAAATATTGTTTCAATTTGTTGAATGGTAATTTTATTATTTGAAAACAAAAATTGGATGGTATTTGAATTATTTATAAACTCTATATATTTTTAATACATTTTTACTTTAGTATTTTCAAAAAATACCCATGGATATTCATTGGATACCAAATCCATAAGGGTCTCGATATGGACTTACTTTTTCAAATTCAAAAGGGTCTGGATTTGGGTCTGAATCTAACTAAATTAAATGGGTCTGGATCTGGATCAAAGGAATCCAACCCAGACCCTACCCATTGACATGCCTAGGTGCGACCAAACTCATTAGACTGTTCTGTATTAGACACTCCCTCAAATTCATTGGGTTAGGGCATTATCCTAGGTTGATCTGTGAAATCACATAGGAAGTATAATCTTTAATTGCTTCCAAGTTTTAAATATAACTCAAATTTCCACTACTTCAAGTGCACAGGTTGTACACGAGTATAGGAAATATTCAATTGTCAATTATTAGTGTGATTCGAACTCCTCTATTATTTAGACGATCATAAATAAAGCAGCTAAATCTATGTTACAATCATGCAATAAAAGTAGTTAAACTAACAATAAAGGCCTTCGTATTGTTATGGAATTCTTAACTATTCTTACAAGCAAAAATTACCTTTTAAATGAGTTTATTTG